GTTGTAAATTTAATTGTTAGTTCACATGTGAATTATTAATCAAAAGTTAGAGAGTTTAGTTATACCTAACAGACGAGACACATACCTTTCAAGTTAGAATTATAAGCGCTGTAATTCATAATCAACGTTCTAAATTTAATTATTAATTTTAATATATCATAAAGATTAGAATATACTAAGTGATCTCACTAATAAATTAAAATCTTTTTTTTTAGAAGATTCAAGTTTGAGCAACTACATCTACATAGTTCGTACATATTATCAATGACTAAGAAATATTTTAAACATATACTATCTTATAATCATTATTGATTATTCAAAAAAATATACCATAAGAATTAATTAATTTCATTCAATTTTTAATCGAATTGGTATGATTTGAACGAAACTTACATTTAAAAATATTATACATAAATTCAGTTGCATAGACCACGTTAATAACACATTTTTATTATTAAGTTAAAGTGATTATAAAGTAGTATTTGATCTAAATACTCTCAATAATTTGACAAAAAACATTCAATCACCTTGTTGCAGTTACTAATGTTCGAACCTCTGATATCTATAAATAACAATAATTCCTTTAACACGAGGTAATTTGATTTCATACCATGAAGACAACACCAATTGAAGAGATATGAACCACATTAAATATAAATAAATAAAATATTAAATATTAAAACTTTAAATAAACAGGATTAATTTAATATTAAAGAATTTTATTGATTAAATTAGTAAAAATAAAACTTAGAAACTTGACCTGTGATTAAACCAAAGACGTAAGATAACATTTATTAAAGGAACGTTAGATTAGTGTATAAAAAAAAAAGAACGTTAGATTAGGGGTGTGCAAAAATATCCGACCCGGTTAACCACGACCCGTCGACCCGAACCTAAAAAATCGGATACTTTTATAAAAAAATTACCTGCCTGGTATGGTACCATACCCGACATTTCCTGAGTCGGGTCCGGGTCACAAAATTTAATTTTTCGGGTACCGGAGTACCCAGTTAGGGATTTTTTGGGTAAACTACCTATTTGGTCACTTATATATTATCTAATTTATATTTTGGTCGCTCGATTATTATTTAGGTTAAACTACCTATTTGATCACTTATATATTATCTAATTTATGTTTTGGTCACTCGATTATTATTTAGGGTAAACTACCTATTTGGTCACTTATATATTATCTAATTTATGTTTTGGTCACTCGATTATTATTTAGGGTAAACTACCTATTTGGTCACTTATATATTATCTAATTTATGTTTTGATCACTCGATTATAATTTAGGGTAAACTACCTATTTGGTCACTTATATATTATCTAATATAATTCATATATATTTTTATTTAGGGTAGACTACCTATTTGGTAACTTATATATTATCTAATTTATGTTTTGATCATTTGATTATTTTTTTCAAATTATACCTAACGTTACGTTTTGATTTTGTTTTGGTCACCCATATTTAAAAATGAACAATGATGCTAACATGACATTTTTTAATTATGTTTGGATGTTGGACTATGTAATTCGAAGTTTCTAACATTTAAATTTGTGTGTATTTTTTTAATTAATAATTTGAAAAAGGGTATTTGGGTACCCGAAATAGATGTACTGCAAAATCTGGGTACCCGCAACATCTGGATTGAGACACGGGCCAAGAAATCAATTACCCGAAGATCCGGGTACCCAGATTTACACACTCCTACGTTAGATACCAACATAAGAAAACAAACCAACGTTAGAGGCAAAAGATGCATTAAACCATGGGCGAATGATAAAATTGATAATAAAAGACAGAAGGGACCTTTGATGTTAGAACTCCTAAGATTTGGAGAAATTTTATAGGAGTATTTTAAAAAGTTTTTAATTATTATTTGACCCTTCAAAATTTGAAGAAATCCTCATTAATACTTAAAGTTTCCAGATACTTTAATTTATAACCCACTTTTTTTTAAAAATTCTTATCAAACCTCTTTAAATTTGTTAAAAAATAATTAAATAAATAAATCATCAAAACTTCTTAAAAAATAATCATATTACCTCAAAAGGTTAATATCAATACACGTCACCACAATAAGCTTACAAAAACTAAAAAGTTTGGGGAAAAAAGTGGGTGGAGACAGTTTTTATTGACTGCGGCCTCAAAGTTTTTCTTTTGTATGAGTGGGCAAAAACTGTCCTGGTTTTCCGTGCCCCACCCTGCAAAAGGTCCCCTATGCCATTCTTATATATGTATCCCTCATTTCCTTTTTGTTACATAATTCCAAACGAATCTAACTCCATTGTTCATCTTAATCATTGATTAATTAATTTATTAGTTCATTGTTATCACTTAATGAATTGATAGTTTGGGAATGAAGCGTCTGATTTCAAATAATCCATAAAGGAACACAGAAGAAGGGGGATTTCAAGTCATTTCATATAAATAATGTAGAGGTATAATTTCAACGAGATGAAAATGATTAAAATCCGATTTTTTTCATTATATTTCGTTGGCCCATCATGTCACAAGTTCAAGGGGAAATGATTTGGTTCGTAGTATTAGTTGGAGGGTCAATCAATCATTTCACTTATGTCATCATTATAATATAAATTTTATGTTTTTTTCTCTCAATTTTAGAGGTTAATTAACTCGATTATTTCATACGATTGTCTTTAAAAAGTGATGTCCTATTGTATGAAGTCAAACTTGTAACAAATGTATCAATGAGGTATTCACATAATTCATTACTAAGGTGTAAGTTCTTTATCATTGAAGACTCAAGTTCAAATCTCACCTTAATTAATTGTAGTTTGAGTTGTATTATTAATTTTATATGTATAGTGACACGGAGCTAAATTGTCGACTAGTTGGTCCGTGTGGCCCATAGATGCCTCGCTCGATTGCTTGACACAAATGCCTGAGTTTATTCATACAAATCTCTCAATCTCCAATGGAGGTGGGGAGGCCTCAATGAAGTCCCCTTACATCTTATGACTACTCCTAGTCCAACTACAAGTAAAACTCTTTACTTCAGTTGAAACTCTAATATTTGAGTCCTATTCAAACAAGGACTATTTTACCTGACTTTATTTTTCAAGTAATTGTCGGCCTTGCTAGAGGACATGCCCTAAGTCGATGCTGGCCTCGGCCCTTAGTGCACCCTCGGTGTGCATAGGCCTCGGCCCTATGTGCCCCCGATGTGTGCTGCCCTCGCCCTCAAGTGGCCCCTTTGTGCGTTTATCTCAGTTGTAGGCGCACACCTAGTGTGCGTTGGCCCTGACCCCGAGTGCATCCCATTGCTTGTTGACTAGAGCTCTTTGCTGACATTGTCGTGCATTGGCCTCGGCTCTAGGTGCACCTTGGTGTGCAGTGGTCACGACCCTGGGCGACCCTTGCTGTTTGATGGTCGTGCTTGGGGTAGTTTGGGTCGGGCGTGTCTTAACCCTGTTCGGCGTTATGTGTGCCTTGGTCTCGACGTGGCCCTAGTGGGCCGCCTGGGCGGCGTCTGTCGTACCCTGGTGGGTGTTGGTCTCGGCACCACAGTGGGAGCAATCTGCCTTGTGCTGGTTGCAGCCCCACGGGTAGTCTATTGTGGGCCAACCTCACCCACAAGTTCTGACCCGTGACAATAGTACTAGCATATTAATAAATTCAACCGCATAATTATTTCAATATTTTTTAATAAACTTATAGATATATGCAAATTTAGTTAATTTTATACTAATATGAGTGATAACTTCTCTTATATTTATTATATTTAAATAAATTTTTTTCTTTTGCATCATCCGAATTAAAATTCAACAAATCCAAATGTAATTGAATATAATTTGATTTAATAAACAAAATGCAACCATTCACTAAAGATCATCATTGCATTGTACTTGTGTGTTATTCATCAAAATCATATGAAATTCATGGACCCTCCACCAATCTAGAAAATTTCTCATATACTTAAAGATTTTGAAGGCTAGGAATCCGACTCCATCCCAACCAACTTCCCATTGCATATATATATATATATATAAATAAAAGAAAATAGGTTTAATTAACTATAACATATAAATTTAAAGGACATAGAAACAAAAAATATTTTTAAAGTGTTTAGTGATCATGGCCTAAACAAACATTTTTATATGAAAGATATAGGTTGAATTATAATGTGTTCAGTATTTAGTAACACAAAATTCAATAAAGTATATGAAAGTAGTAAAAGATGTATGCATGTGTGAGACGCAAAAATTACTCAACTGGCATCATCAAGATTCAATATTTTCGTCTCCCACGATTCACCAATTAACTCATTTATATAAACCAAACCATTGCGCCGTGATGGCCCTTTACTGAAGGACCATGTCTATGCCGCTATGCGTGCTGCCATGTAATTTGGGTGATGAGAAAGATGAACGCAGTTTTTACTTTCTACTAGCAGGTAGGTAGGTGGGTTAGCAGACCCTACCGTGGCGATCGACGCCACCATTTCATCGATCGAGTGATGGAAGACCCGACCGCCCGTTACCAGGCTCTATCTCTACGAAGGCCAACTAAAGTTGGGCATGGCGGCGTAACATTCGCTGCATATTCCTTCTAATTATTACCCTTGCACTGCACTCTAATTGGGATGTCATTCTATTTTTTTTACTTGAATTCAAATATTCGTTTTGAATTTAAAATTTATTCAATTAGATTTAGTTATATAAAATTAATAATTTTAAGTTAATTTAACTTGAATATAAATTAATTGAGATTAATCTAAATTGATTTGAATTTAAAATAATTCCAACACAACATTTCAAACATTTACCATCATGTTATTACGGTCCGTACAGCGTTAACCTACGTGTTATTATCTAATTCGTTTAAAGTTCGGCGTATTCCGTTACAGATCCCAGATCCCCGTTACGACGCCGTCAAACTCTCCCGTCGCTGTTAAATGGACCACCATCTCACACAATCCACCCCCTTTAAAACCGCAAAAGAAAATACTCACCGTTCGGTGTACCCCCCTCTCTCTCATCATCACCACCATCATCAAAAGCTAACAAAAACCAGAAAACGAATACTCAAAGCCAAACAAAACGAATACCTTCTCTCGCTTTCTCAAAGAAATAAGAGAATTAGTGAAAGTGTAAAACAATTGGAGGAATTGCACCTATGGAGCTAGCTAATTGGAGTTCAAACGCGAGCCATGGAGGAAATCGGAAGGGTTCATAAGAAACGCAGAAGGTTAAACGACGACGAAGAGGCTGAATATAATAAAGTAACTTCTTCAACGACCTCAACTACTTCGTATATCCAGTTGAGAAGTCAGAGAATTTTGGTATATCACAATCGTCGCGACGGAAATCGGTGCTTGAGCGCTAATTTGGACCACGATGGTAAAGTGTCATGCTGTTCAAGCAATATAGGATCGAGCGATAAGAGGATTATCGAATTGCCAGATCTGAAGGTGAATTTCGAAAATTCCTGTTTTTTTATTTTAATAATTAGTATATGTCTTTATGGATTCTAGGAATTTTGTTTCGTTCCAGCTTTAATTTCTGCTATTAAATTCTATAGTTTTTTTTTTTTTGCAGGACGGGAGTATTGAAGTTGAAACATCCTCGCATTTCAGCTGCAGCGAAAGGTAGCGCTTAAAATATTTACAGATATGTATAAATAAACTTTATTTTTATATTTCAGTATTTAAGTTACTGTAACTTACTGTAACACGTATCTTGAATTTGAATTTCAAACCGGCGATCATTTTTTTTTCATTTTCCGTTTTAAATTCTCCTTTTCTTTGAATAATATACACCCCGCTCAAATTATTTTGCTCTTTCGTGAATTCTAGTATGAGAGAAACGACGCCGTTAAGTGATCTCCGAGCTGAACCAGAAGACTCGGATTCAACTTCGAGGTCATTGGAGACGAACTCTAGCCCTAGATCAACGGTGGAGAAAATGCCAACCGAAGTTGAACTCGAAGAATTCTTTGCCCCTGCCGAGAAAAAACTTAAAAAACAGTTTGCAGAAAAGTAGGTTCATGCACATTCACTTTTAAGAAGACCTATATTTTCGTTTCTGTGGTTGAATTTTCTTAGCAACCAAACGGAAAACTAAAAGGAATTTTTTTGTCTACTGTTTTTAGGTATAACTACGATGTTGTCAAAGATGAACCGTTGGAAGGACGTTTCGAGTGGGTTCGACTAAAGCCATGAATAAAAGGCCAAACAATCGAAGAAATTTTAGGTTATCTTTTTAGACATTTCTAGGGGGTTTCTTTCTTCTGTGTATAGAATGACGAAGAAGTAAAAAGAAAAGAAGAAAACGAAGCTTCTTTCGAAGAGGAAAAAATGGGCGAAAGAAATCCCCAACTATTCGTGTCTGTTTCTTCTGCAAAATTCTTCTGTTTCTTTAATGCTCTCTTCCTTCTTCCTCCTGTACTCTTTCGTCAGTTGAAGCTTTTTATTAATATAATAAAATTTACTACAGTCATAAAAATCTATTTTTAAACTTATATTTTATTTAAGTTAAGGTGACTATAATGTATTATATGTTTTAAATATACGAATCATCTAAAAATAAACGTTTAATTATTTTTATAATCGTTGATATTTGAACTCGTGATTTTTGGGAATAACAACGTTCCTTTAACATATGTTTATTTAAGAAAAGTTCTACAACGTTGACAAGTATCGATGAACACCATTAACGATGAGTATTAATAATTTAATGTATAAAAATTTAAAATTTTAAAGGGATCGATGTATATAGGGATGGCAACGGGCCGGGTTCGGGTCGGGTATTGGTCCCCCCGTCCCCGTTTTAAAAATCGGTACCCGTTCCCTTTTAAAAAATCGCAGGGATTTAAACAGGGATCCCTATCGGGTAATCGGGGAAAACTGCGGGGAAACGGGTATCCCCGTTTAGCATAAACGTTTATTTAAACGGGTATCGGTAGGGTTGTTCATTCGGTTTAATTCGGTGGCCGAACCGACCGAACTACCATTAACCGAATTTTTTTTTTTCTTTACCGTTAACCAACCAAATTTTTTTTTTCGAAAATATTAACTGAACGAATAAATTTCGGTTAATTTCGGTTAACCGAAATTTTTTTATTATTAGAATTTAATACTAGAGAGCAGCTGCTGTTCCATTTGCTATGGAAGAACGTGATGTTGGTATAGGTCCCAAGGCTGATTTTAATATGGCTAATTCACATGCTTCGCTTTGTCAGAGGACGTTAAAGCTTGTGTAATGGAGATTAGTATGAGGTTATTCGATGCGAGGTGAAATGAGGGTTGTTGTCGAAGAGACGAAGACAATATGCAAGTTGCATTGATTTTAAATTCTGCTGGACATAATTTCCAGCTTGCCAATGCTAGTGGTGTGCTTCAAATGTACTGGACGAGGACCCGCAACAAGTACACGTTCGTTGGAAGTGGCACAATACCAACAAACCAACCAGACTTTTCCCATTTAACTAGACAATGTTGTCTATTAAAAGATATTAAAGGTTCACAAGTGATTGCAAACAAGAAGTAAGCACTATTTTCACTATTAAAAGAAAAAAAGAATATTATGAGATAGCGAAAATTGAGGTAAATTCTAAAAATTGAAGCGGGGACGATGTTTTAAAGTGGGGCAGTATGGGGTGAAAAAATTAAAAAAAAATTTAAGGGTTAATTTAAAATATGTTATTAATATTATATATAAAAAATAATTATTTTTAATATTTATCGGGTCGGGTATCGGGTTGGGTAATCGGGCCGGGTAATCGGGGCGGGGATTACCAAACCCGTCCCTGTCCTCGTTTAACATAAACGGGGTTTCTCCGTCCCCGTCCCCGTTTAACATAAATGGGGTTTCTCCGTCCCCGTCCCCGTTTATCATCCCCGAACCCGACCCGTTAAATTCGGTTTTCGATTTTTCCCGTCGGGTTCGGATTTTTTTGTTATCCCTAGACGTATAGTTACAAATTAGTTAAAAATTTTGGTCACTTAAATTGCCCAAGAGAATTGAACCTGATGATCCTTGGTTGAAGAAGCAAGACTTGACTATTGAGAAAAAGTAGTTAATTGGTTTAAATCTTAACATTAAAAATATATTTTATTTTTATATTAACTTATTAAATATATTTTATTCGTTTTCTATTCTAAAAATATATTTTATTCTTATTTTAATTTAAAAAATATATTTTAATCTTATGTTAAATTAAAAATATAATTTATTCTTATATTAATTTAAATATTTATATATTATTATGATATTATTTTAAATATAAGAATTTTTTTTTATTTTTTTATAGTTAAGATAAAAATAAAATATATTTTTTAGTTAAATAAAAATATATTTTTAAGTTAAGATAATAATAAAAGATATGCTTTAAGTTAAAATAAGAATTAATTATATTTAATAATTTAAGGTAACAATATACAATATTTAATAATTTAAGTTAAGAATATAATTTATGTAATAAGTTAAGATAAGAATAAAATAAAATTTTTAAGTTAAGATAAAGACTAAAATATATTTTAAATTAAAATAAGAATACAATATATTTTTATGTTAAGACAAGATTAAAATATAATTAATAAGTTTATATAAAAAAATAAAATGTACTTTTAATATTAAGATGTCAAATTAATTTTAATTTTAATTTAAGATTTATAATATATATTAAAATTTAAGTGTATACTAATTTAGCATAAATAATATATGTAGTCAATTCGAACCAATTAACTACTTTTTCTCAATGGTATAGAGCCTTGCTTCTTCAATCATGGATGCCCATGTTTAATTTATCTAAGCAACATATAAGCGCCCAATTTTTCTTTCCTCAACCTTGATTGGTGAGAAAAATATATTAATTAAAAATACATTAAAAATAATTTTAATCGTCCAATCGGACATGGTGATACATGTCATTACACTTGGCACCAGTGACACATACACCATTTGATTTGAGGGTTAAATGTATTTTAATTTATTAAAATTAAGACCAAATTGATAAAATATATAAGTAAGAGTGACCAAATGTGTAATTATATCAAATATTTTAACTGTCACATTAGCTTCAACTTTTTTGTTGTTGAAAATAACCATCAAATTTAATTTACCGAAAGTCGTATCGACAAACGTCTTGCCAATTACAGACTGAACAAATACAGTCGAGAGTGATACATGTCATTACACTGGCACCAGTGACACATACACCATTTGATTTGAGGGTTAAATGTATTTTAATTTATTAAAATTAAGACCAAATTGATAAAATATATAAGTAAGAGTGACCAAATGTGTAATTATATCAAATATTTTAACTGTCACATTAGCTTCAACTTTTTTGTGTTGAAAAATAACCATCAAATTTAATTTACCGAAAGTCGTATCGACAAACGTCTTGCCAATTACAGACTGAACAAATACAGTCGAGACTATCAAAAATAAAATATAACAATGATCGGTTAGAGATAGTCTATAAACAAAACTATTAACAAGTGAAGCAATGACGCACATAAACTAAACCCACCAACGACTCCGAGTATCAAACATTAAGGAGAGAAAACTTGAAGAATAACCAAAAAGGCCAACGAACAAAGCGATCTCCCCTTAACAACAATCCCATCTGACACAATATGCGATAACCAACGAACCGTCTTGTACAACTGAACAGAGGAACCATGCCACGAGAAAGCAACAACCATGCATTCAAGAAAAAAATGAGAAGAAAACCAATAAAAAGACATGCACTAAGAGTTCAAAAACACCGATAACCATAATACCCTTTACTAGAGAAAGGCCAAGAGTATTATTATAGCAAATACGTTAAAATATAACTAAAAATGACATGGTGGGTGAAGAAGACCACCATCGGTGCCATGAACGCAACAAATTTAAAATCGCCCAAGAGAATGGTAATTGCCCTAAAGAAAATTATGGAGGAAGAGATGGTGGTATTTGAAAATATCAGCTTCTCCTTTAAATACTAATGACAACTGGTTTAATTGAGTGCATTTAAATAGTTAAGTGATTTGATTAAAAAAATTCAAAAATGGTGATAAAAATAAAATGAACAATACTTAGTGGTCACTGGTATAGTTTACCCTTTACTTTAAACAATTTACCTTTAAAATTTAATAATTTATAATTATACATTGAATCCTTTAAAATTTTAATTTTTAAATTAAATTAATGGTGCTCATTGTTAGTGGTATTCATTGATACTCATCGAACGTGTTAAACACGTCCGTTTTCTAATTATATGTAATTTTTTCTTTGGATATTTCCCTTTTCGAAATATCATAAAATATATTTTCTAGAGGTAATTGTAACCACCATTTTTTTTACATTTTTTTATTATTATTTTAATAGATTTTGGTTTTCATGTTGGGGTTATAAAAACCCCAACTTTGCTTGTAAAAGGGGATTTTTGTTCCCTAAAAAAAATCAGAATAAAAGGTAATTTTTTTCTCCATTTTCTCTCTTTTTCATGTAAGCTTGGTCTTTAGGGGGAGTTCTCCGGCCGGTTCGGAGCTGATCGGAACGTGAGAGAGCCATCGATTTACGGCAGTGGCCGGTGACCGTTTGACCATGAGTTGGGGTGAGTTGTTTTTAGGGGAGCTTCCATAGAGAGAAAGTAAGAAGGAAATAGAGTGGTTCGGCCCACTTCGGGGTCTTTGGGGGCTCTCGGTGGTTGGTCAGTGTTTTGGCGTTGGTCGGGGTGAGGACATGCTGTTAAACGGCATGTGGCCAGTGGCCGATGATGGTTGTGAAGCTTGGGAGCTTCTCGGCTGAACTGCATACGTGACGGGGGAAAATATTTTTGTTTTAAGAAAAAGGGTAAATCACTCTTAGGCCCTCTCATTTAGTATCCCTTTTGTATTCTAGCCAACTATTTTAGGGGAAAACTACACTTCAGTTCTCCAACTTCTGTCGTCTATTTTCATCTTGGTCACCATGTTTTTTGTTTTTATTTCTTATGATTTTGAACCCTATGTTTTATTTTCTTTCGATTTGGTCACAATTTTTCCATTTTATTTGTTATAATTTAGCTGTTGTTTTATTACTTATTGCACTTTGGTCACTGCTCCTATTATTATTTATTTATTTCAAATATAACGTATTATTTTTATTTAAATAATAACTCTTAAGAGATAGTTCTAAATGATAATTTCTAAAAAATAAAAATAAAATCTAATTTGAATTTGAAGATAATCGTCCTGTCTTCAGGATTGCTGACTAGACATTCTGGAAGATGCCGATTGGATCTTCTAGAAGCTGCTAGGTCGAATTCAGTCATGCCCATTAATCCAACCTTGACTCCAAAAAATAATTTTTTTTGAGGAATTGCACCATTTTAATGTCGTTTCTGAAATCTAACGTCCTGCACAAAAAATGAATAGAAAAGCCCAAATCAACAACAAAAACTAAACAATGTAGTAATTAAGGATAAAACAACAACTATTTAAACTACGCATCAATGTCCATGGCAAAGGTATGGCTGGTTGGTGAGAGTTATTGCAAAATGTAGTATGGTTTCCCAAATTTTTGAGATTAGACAAATTTTTAAATATTTTTTTGTATATTAACAATAAATATTCAAAGTAAAAAAAATCGAATTAGAAGCCGGACGAAAGTGAGTGTATACATTTATTTTGTACGTTTGAAAAGATAAACAAAAACGTTTCTGAAAAGTCTTTTATACTAAAATTTAAGGGTATAAATCAACAAAGAGTTTGGTAAATTGTTGTGAATGTTCGTATAATATTCTTTATTAAGCCAAATAAGGGAAGTGTAAACAAAATTTTTATGTTCATTAATAAATGAATAAACACAAATAAAGGCACGAACCAACTTACCTCAATGGTTAAAGGAATCGTTGTTGTTCTTAGAGGTACGATGAGCACCAGGGGCTGCAGCAAGGTGATTGAGCGTTTTTGTCAAATGATTGAAAATATTTATAACATATACTACTTTGTAATCACCTTAGTTTAATAAAAAAAAGAACAAAAGAGATGTGTTTGGTTCGTTTATGTTCATAAACAATTTTTTATGAGCTCATTTATAAGCTCGTTTATCGACTCGTTGTTTATGTTCATAAACAAACTTGTTTGTCCAATTTTCTTTTTTTTCTTTTTACATTTAAAATTTTATAGTAAATTTTACACATGCATAAAAATTTAAAAGTATTTAGAGTAATTTATCCTAATAAATATTAAAGAAAAGATGGAATGGAAAATATTTGGGGCCACCACAGAAAAATGAAACTTTGTGAATACCTTTTATTATCGAAACAGACAATTCAGACACCTTTCATTTTATATAAAAATAATGCACCAAAAATTACACTAATTTTTTAATCTTTGGCTAAAATGTGTGTATTAAACCCAAGTGAGAAGTTTTAAGAATTAATTTTAAAAACAAAATGTAATCTTGATGGAACCGTAAAATAATTTTTGAATGTGCATAGACCATAACATTTTGATCAAGATTAAACTAGACAAGCTATTATTTAATTTTGTTGAACGTGAAAGATTTTGTTATTTTTATAAAATTATCATTTTGGTATGTTCCTTCCTTGTAACACCCTAAACCAGTACGACACACAATCGACCGATCATAATGCTACACGAAACTTCCGGAGTGGTTAACCAAAATTTTCTTTTAAGTTTTTCCGCTTTAAAAATGACCATTGTAAACAATCACGCTAAAATGAATTAACCACAATTTAAATAAAATGATTTACATCAGGAGCTCCCAAAAATATTATTTCAAATCATACAAACCATTGCTAAAAAATGACCCATACAAAAATATACAAAATGTTCACATGTATACATGCCCTCTATAAAGATGACACGTGACATACTCTGCACTAACTGAGTCTTGATCACTGCTGGTCCAAAAAAGTCCTCGGACGGCTCCTCATTTAACCTGCATAAGGAAACAAATTCCAAACATTGAGCTAACTAGCCCAGTGCGACACTAACAACTAAGTCATACTAAAAGTGTTCATGACATGCTCAAGCTATCAAGTCTACTGTTATCTGTTCTACTATCCCACTCCTTGAGTGTTGGACCTTGCGCCCAAGCTAGTATGCTTTAAAACTACTTTAGTGAGTATTCTCGAATACTTACTCTCTACGCTATGGTAGACATCATGATGCGGCTGAGGGTTCTGCATCTCAGAGATCACACACCCTTCTAGTCTACCCTGGATATGGCCCCCAAAATTCTCTGGATCAGAAACCATATCCCTGACTAACCCACCCTTTTCTTCTAAAGAGTGTTAAGGACTAAACAAACATAGTTAGTCAGAAGGGCCTCGACCCTGCCTAAGGACATATCCGAACTGAATCTATACTTTCGATAATGCTAGCATTTTCTAAAGGAGTTTGGGTGTCCTAGTCATTTCCGAGCATCATCCAAGACTATTTTTATGTCATCCTAATAAATCTTGTTTCTAAGTCTAATTAACATCATTAATATTCTCACTTGTAGTTTTATTTGATGATAAAGAAAAGTGTTGGGGTACATCGAGTCTAATTCCCTTAAAAACTGACATTTTTGCCCAAAACAAACTTAAAGTATCGATATTACCCTAAGAGTATCGATGCTCCTGCAAAAGTTTGTATTTTATATAAGTATCGATACTTTTAAATATTTTGTTCTACCAAGTTTCAAAACTTTATAAAAATTTCAAAACTATGACCCAAAGTTTCGATAATCTTGAAAGAGTAACAATACTTTTCCCAAAATTACACGAATTTGCCCAAAACAAAGAACAAGTGTCGATACTATCCGAATAGTATCAATCCTCTACATGCAGAAGTCATCAGACACATACTAAAAATGCTATATTTCAAACCCAAAGACCTTAGTGAGGTCCCTAAACATGCTTAAAGTTTTATTGAATCAACAATGGTTATAATGGAGACTTAAACACATTTATAACTCTAAAACAAGAATTTCACCATGAAAATGTTTATCATGCTCAACTCAACCATTTAAATTAATTTGAACTTCTAATGAATCACTACGAGTATAGAAGAGTTGTAAAGGTGTTACCTTGCTTATTTGGTGGCTAAAACTCTCCTCAACTCAACCAATTCTCAACTTTTCTTTCCCTTTTGATTTGGAATCTCTCTCACTTCCTTCACTAAACAAGGTAAGAAAATTGATTACTAATCCATATATAGGTTGGATACATTCTAAATAACTCCTTATAATCCAAATCATAGCTAGAATCCATAGATCCTCACAACCATCTAAAAAACCCATTTTCTCGATGGATAAAAACTAATGAAATGAAACTTAAAATGAAGTTTGAAGTGGGGTTAATAATCTTACCTTTGCTTGACCCAAACTAAACTTGAAGTCCTAAATCCTTTAACTTGAAGATGGGAGAAGAAAAGAGAAAAGAGAAAAGATGGAAGAAGAAAATGAGTGTTTGGTGGGAAATGGGTAGTTGCTCCCGTATATCTCATAAAATAGGGGAGTTTTCAGCTTTTGAGTTAAGAATTTGGTAAATTGCACTTTTAGTCCCTCTATTTTCTAATTCATAAGACATTCATCTTTTACCAACTAACTCTTAGGCTCAACTAAAGTCCAAAACCACTAAATCGGGTCCAACTATTTTATAAGGTCCAATTGGGCTCAACTTAGGCTTCAGATTGACCCGAACTACTAACGTGAAATTCGGGGTGTTACATTCCTCATGTGTTATTATTGTAAAAGTTTAACATGCTACATTTATTAAAAAAAGACTGTAAATGACTTTTTCAATAATTTATTATATAGAGTATGTCTTACCTCAAATACATATATATCTGATTCGAATTCGTCATATACATCTTACTCTCCATTTTATAGATGATATTTAAAAATTACATAAAATAATCATCAATTTTTGTTTAATTATTGATTATTTAGGATAGTTAGAAAAATTTCTCTTAAAATGGGATTTTAAGAGGATATTGGCTATAATTATTAATAATGCTAATTCTAATGATGATATAATAATTAGTTTTGAAGCAAATATGGTGATAACTTTGGAAGAAAGAGTAAGAGACACAATCTAGATGTTAATAAATACCATCTTATATCTTGATGCTTTTTTTTCTCTCTTAATTTTAAACATTCATTTCATGCATTGAACATCTTTCTTACTGGTTTGATGAAAGCTTAGAATATAACTTACATCCTCGATTAGTAGGGCACAAAATAAACTCGAGTACTTTTGCAATCTTAAATTAAGATCAATATGGCCTAAAAGCTAATATATCCTTAAGCAAACAATTATCAACGTAGAACGGTGGTGCATTAGCTGTCACATTCATTAAACACTTTCTAACATGTTCCGAGACCCTGTTTCTCGTTTCCCCATGCATTAATTTACAGGCATCAATGAAAAAAAGACTAGTAGATTCAAGTAAAAACACAATTCTCTGTAACCAAAGAGTCTAAGATAGATCTATCAATTGTTCAACATTGGAAACAAGTTTTTGAACTGAAAATATTTTGTATGAACAAACAGCCAGATACCCATCTCCTTGGAGAAAAAAAAATGCAAACTGAAGAAAAAGCACATGAACAAAGAATGCTCCACATCTCTACAAGTTATTATCATACCTTCCCAAATTGCAACTATACCCTCCTTCACATAAAAGGTCATGCAACAAAGAATATTGGTGAATTTGATTAAAAAAAGCCCTAAAAAAGTTAGTTTCATAAAGGAGAAAAAATGGGTTCTTTGTTATCACTTGTGAAGTCTTGGAAACATGGGTGTCCTCATGAGAAAAACCGGATCTTTTAGACCTTTTCTCTTGTCAGCTTCTTTGGAACCAATGTGGGTTCTTTTTGGACTTAGAAATCCCTTCCACCTTGCGGAACGCTTTGTAGGTGTCTCATCGTCAACAATAAGAAGCACTTCTCTCAAAGTCCTTTGCATTTGATTGCTACCATTATCTTTAAACGGCAAAAGCTTACCCTTAAAGAAAAGCTCATCGGCACTCATCATGGAGTAGTTGGACACCGAGAATTCGAAGTCCACCACACCGGAGCCTCCCTCGAGCTCCTCTCTTGTTTCATAATCTGCTGATGAGTCTCGACAAAGTCATTCGAGAAAGAGATTCTTGGTTTCATTGGGGCAATGTGATGTTAAGGACGACGACTTCTCTGCTCCGATTCATTAGACGTTTCTAAGCATGCCGTGAGCTTTTAAAAACGACATGCGGGAAAAGAAGAAAGACAAAGAAGAAACCCTAATAAATTCTATAGGGACACTTGCACTGTTACAACAACTTACTAAGTAGATGCTTGTATTTATATCTACGTTTGCTGAATTGATGTCATGTGCTTTTTTGAATGCATGCTTGTCATGTCTATGATGTGATGTTGTTTTTCCATGACATGTTAATTAGCATTAATGCTAATTTTGAAAGCACATGAACAGAATCCTCCAAAGTAATAATTGTTAATTTATTTTTACTAATTTTATATTTTCGTCTGGTCATAGGTGAAGCTACTAAGAAGATTTTGTTTCCAGAGCTTACTTGGAAAACTCTATATGAAGAAAGTGTTTTGCTCGTTAGCAAAACATATATAATGTATGAATGAACAAATCATTCGATAAATTGTTCGTGAATTATTCATATAATATTGATATATTTTTTTTATTAAATTAAATAAATGAGCATGAATAAAAGTTTTATGTTCAATTAATAAATAAACGAACACGAATAAATATGTATTTAGTTCGTTTATGTTCATGAGCAAACTCGTTTATCAACTCGTTTATAGGCTCATTTACTTGATTTTCCTTTTATTTTTTGTATTTTAAATATTGGTAGAGATAGGAACTAAATCGAATATAAAATAAAAATTTTAGAGTTCAAACTGTGAAACATAAAAAACTTAAAGACTAGTGGCATGATTTTATTATTTTTCTTTTGCTTTGCCATTAAAACGGTTTAAAAGAGAATTTTGGTTGTCAAACATTAAACAAACCGTTAAATGAAAATGTTCTCAAACGCTAAACAAACAAATATAAATACCTCTAAAAATAAATATTACATGAACAAGATATTAAAAATTTAAACAAACACAAACTAAACATAAACCTCTCAAAAAAATAAACAAACATCAACATAATTTTGTTGGTTAAAAATCAGTTCATTTATACCCCTAAGCGTAGATTATCTAATCTCTCTCTCATTTGTACACTTCATAATTGCAGCTACAAATATAGTGAGACTGCATGCATCATGATTTTTTGAACATTTAATCCGAAGGGTAAAGAACATTGGGTATTGAGTAGCATTCAATGGAGCTGTCTTTTATTTATTTATGTTTTTCATATGGATATTAAGTCAGATTTTCACAAGAATAAGTTACAAACTTAAACAGAAAATGAAGATGAGAATATTAAGTTCCATGCTATGTTTCCATTAGAGAAAAGAAAATGAAATGAACTTGAAATGATGGAAATTTCACAATCCATAAAATATTGATTATGTAACACCTCAAATTTCTGGTTTAGTTTAATTTAAATTTTTGATTATGTAACACCTGAAACTTTTAGGTTTTTTTCGAAATTTCAGAATATTCAAGGACCTAAACTTAAATTTACTCATCTCTGGTCTGAACCCACGTCACAATGTATGTTCACCCGTTCCCCTAGATTTAGATTATGGTACTATTCAACTTTAAAATATAAATATTATCTTTTGTATTGGTTAGATGAGAACTTCCTCCCCATCGATCAACCCTTCTCCAATCAACCCTTAAACCATTCCTCATTTATCCCATGCCATCCCCGTTGCCGATCAACCCTTCTCCGATCACCAGTGGCGTGCACCGCCACCACCAGTGTGTTCGTTGGCAGCCTGCGATCAAAGCCCAACTTTTCCTCTTGTCAAAGCCTGTCGTTTGTCGTGAATTTTGCCATGAAGCTTTGCCGAAAACTTAAACTACCCTAGTTGTTTTTCGTTGTTTCATCGACGGTTAGTAGTCGATGTGTTACACCGCTCGTCTCACCAACTTCAGTGCCTCGTCTTGAGTCGACCAATGTCTTTAGCCTCGTCGTTGCCGTTGAGGTGGAGGAGATCGAAGATAGCGAAGTCTGTCATACGGGAAATGGTATCTCGTCACCCTTCGTTACAAACCAAGTCTAGAACGGGGATTAGAATAAAAAGATCTTGAAATCTGGAAAAATTGGTCTCTGTTCTATGCCGGTAGCCCCACGCACGTGCCCTAAGCACTGTTCCCTATGCGTGAGGGTTGATTTCGTCTGGGAACTTCTAGAAGAACGGTCTGGACCAATCTAGACCGCCCGAATTGGTCAAGACACCCAACCAGAGTCAGGCCTGAACGAGCTGAGTTGAGCTGAGCCGTATTAACGGAATCGAGTTGATTGGCCGCTGACTTTTTTCGGGATCATCTATCATAATATTTTATGATGTCTGAGTCTATTTTTAGGGGTTGTTTTACGAAATTCAAACTCGATAAACTATTTTTCAACGTTTTGTCTTTCGATTTGATTCGATTTTTCCATTTAAGTTCAGTTTCTGATGCATTATGTTTTGTCATGTATCTGAGATATTATGGGATGCTGAAATCAAGTATGAGAGAGATCAAAAGAAGTTTGACTGGTCGACCAATGTGACTATAAAATTGAGGTAATACATTATTATTTTTTGCATGCTTTTCGGAGCACGTTGATATTGGTTATTACATGAATGAATATTGTTGGTCAATTTTGTATAGTATTATTGCTAGACTCAATCAAAATATGATAAAAGGCTAGTTAACGATATTTTTTCATTAAAGGTTAAATACCAGAAATGCATGGATAAGAAATTATAAAAATACCCATGTGATGTTAAAAGACAAGGAATGTTCCTAAAAGAGGAAATAACCCTAAAAATATATTTGATCTGATAAATCTACTGATACGTCTGTTAAATGTTTGTTTTGTTCAAAACTTGGATACGGGATCCTTAAATTCTGATTATTTTTCATTAAAGGTTAAATACCAAAAATACATAGATAAGAAATTATGAAAATACCCATGTGATGTTAAAAGACAAGGAATGTTTCTAAAAGAGGAAATAACCCTAAAAATATATATTTGATCCGATGAATCTACTGATACGCCTGTTAAATGTTTGTTTTGTTCAAAACTTGGATACCGACAGAAATACAAATGACATAATTAAATATAATTACTGAAATACCCTTAAAATAAAAAAGGGACTTAGATCTCCCATGATAGTGCACATGATCGGATCAAACATAATGATTGAAATACCCTCGAGTTACGAAAAGAGTAAATTAATCCCAAATTTTAAAATGGCCAACTTACCCTTAAACCCCAAAAGGATCAAAATACCCTTGAGATCCGAAATGACTAGAATAATTTCGAGTATTGAAATGACCTAAAATACCTACCTAACCAAGCAATAAGAGAATGCCATTGGACGATTCTAGATGAACCTAATTGTTATACTGCTTCTAAAGGTTATAGAGCATAAACTAGACCCAATGGGCCTAAGCTAAGTCCTTAGGTCGACTCCATTTTTCGAAATTTATGAAATGATGTTGGATTTCAAAATAGAATTAATTTGGAGTCGCCATCGACCTTTGGGTTAAGTAGGTAGAATACTTAAAAGCATCTTTTAAAATAAGTTTTTTAAAAATCATTTAAAAAGACAAAATGGGATTGCGTATTACCAGAAATTCATTTTTAAGGGCTGGGGAGTTGGTTACGTGTCGGGAATGATTAGTATCCCCACAATGCCCAAAATTGATACCCGATCGCTTATATGTTGTCATAGCAGTGAAATTTGTGGATTTGAGTCAAAATTTAAAATGTAATCCCTCTATTGAACGTTGATCAATTTCATTTTTTTTATCAAAGCATACTATATTATTTTCAAGTTCATTTTCGTCCGAACGTCGTAATGAATCATACTACCTCGATAGGTTTCCTTTTCACGCCCATTCTACGATAGATGTTCTTGAAAATTCACACGAGTACAAAATAAGCTTAATGATGATTATTATCAAATTTTAAAGGCATTTTACCATCCTAAGCAATAATATGTATTATTATACTACTCACATAATAGTATGAGGGCTAAAATATAAAAGTATTAAAGTTAGAAAACACCAAGACATAGATTAATCAAATTCATTTGAATCGAAACTAAGCAAGAACTAGGGAACTCAAGCTAAAATTCATAATAACATAAAATGTAGGTATTGTAAGTGTAATAAAATGCTAAAACATGTGGGACTAAAATAAAAATGAATTAGATTATATGTACTAGAAATAAAATAAAGCTCATAAATGACATGAAGGGCTAAAGTGAAATAAAACATAATATAAAGTTCAAATTAAAAATAAACAGAAAAGTAAATGCTAGAATTTAAAAGGACTAAAATGTAAAATGTGAAAAATAAAAGGGAAAATAAATAAATAAAAATATTGGAATATAAATAACAATAAAATAAGGTTAAGAAATTAATATTTTTAATTTTAAACCCAAATTGTAATAAGGCGGGTCATCGCAAGGTCGTATAATGGTTCGGATGCGAAAAATAAAGTAAGCGGTTAGCAGCATAAAAAATATAACATAAAATAAAAGTTAGAAGTCAAAGGTTAGCAATGTTAGAAATAAAATAAAATAAAGTCATGATTTAACGGTTAGTAATGTTAACATTTTAACCCAAACCATAATAATGCGAATTGTACCCAAAGGTCCGTCACCGCGAGGCCGTACAACTATTCAAATACAAGAAAATTAAAGTTAACAGTTAGTAGTTAGGAGTAAAAAAGTTTGTGGTTAGAAGTTAGAAAATTTCGTATTAAAAAAATAAAAAGGGTCTAGATCGTAACAATGTGGGTCATACTCCGGATGCAGTCACCGAAAGATCGAGTCCAAGTTAGGTGCAATAAATAAACAATTAGTAATTAAATAACATAAATAAAATAAAATAAATAAGAAAGTCAGAACCAAACAAAATCAATAAAGAAAAATGCATCAGAATTGAATATAAAATAAATAACAGAATGGTAAGATCCAATATAG